CCCCCCCCCCCAAAAAAACAAACAAAAAAAACCAAAATCATCCTTTAATTAGATGTTTTGGTATGAAAGCTATTCTGATAAATCATAACAGTCAAAACTCTGACAGTCTGAATAATTTCTGCTTTAAAGGTCACAAAGAGTTATTATTATTATCATAATTATTATTATTATTACTACTCACAAAATTACTTTCAATATAAAATTGAAATGTATGGAAAGATTGTCCAAGAGCGCAGATGGTGGTAAAATGTACAAATATAATTGTTTTTTTGTTGTTTTTTTTAAAAACCCTAATAAAAAATATGTTATGTTCTTGTTTTACAAAGGAGTATTCTTAATAAAAATTAAAAAAAAAGAAGGCGGGGGGGCTTGACTGATCAGTCTCTCTGCGATCGACTGGTTTGGACACCTGCCATTGACCATTTTCTGTTATCAATTATCAGGCCTGGATTAAACGAGGAAGCTGACGCTCTCGCAGCTGAACAGAGCTAGCAAAGCAAAGGTAGCAGGTCCAAAAAAGCAAAATAGCGGGTTGACTCTCTATGCCGACACGCTGACAGTTTCAGAAATCGCTTCGTTGTTCCAGGTTTGTGCTCATGCAGGAGGACAACCGGAGCCATGTTGACTGAGCTGCTTGAATTTGGAGGCTCTTTCTTCCTCCAGGCTGAAGATGATGGTATCGGTGGGACTCGCTAGTTTCGCCTGAGCTCCTTTCAGCACCGCCGCCGCCTCATAAGTTGGTTGTTGTTGGAAACCGAGCTCGAGGTAAATGATCTCCTTCGTATTTAGTAGCTAGTGTTAGCAAGGCTGACATGCCGGTGTCGTGCTGCTATTGTACAGCACAGCGCTCTCCCACCGGCACAGGACTTGAGTTAACTTTCCGGTTTGACCGCATCTCGCAGGCCACAGCAGTTAGCCCGGATTTCCCTCCTTATGGTCACGATAAAGAAATCGATTTTAATAGATTAATCAGAAATAAGTAGTCCTCATGAAAGCTACCAACATATCGTAATACTTGGAAGGAATCCACCTGAACGCTAGGTTTGTTCATTCATCAACTCGCATAAAGGAGTTGAGACTGTAAGCGTGGGTTATGGGAGCTTGATGAACTCAACAAAGAGTAAAAATCTCTCCAAGTATCAGAATTTTTGTTCATTCAAAACACCAAATAAGAGTAGTATTAATGGAAGGAAGCATTTTAGTGTGTTTCAGGTTTGCAATGACTTCTGAGATTATGTTTTGTGGACAGATGACAAAGAAGTCCATTTTTCTATTTAAAACGCACAACTCTGTATTTGTGAATTTTAGAACAGTACTGTCTACCAGCTCTAAAACTGAAAGAGTGGTGGACGGATTGTGGTTTGGGGCTGCTTTGCTATCTCAGGAGTAGAGTGCCACAACTACAAAGTGACCAAAGTGCACAAGTAAATCGACAACACGATAGTTTAAAAAGAAAAAAAATTCATGTTTTTGGAATAGTCATGTCAGAGTCCTAACCTTAACACAACTGCTTAAGGTTGATGCATGATGGAAAATGTTGAAAATCCTCTATAAAGCCTAAAAAGATCTGATGTAGGTTTTTGCTAAAAGAGATTCTAAGATATAGGAAACTCGAGGCCTGTTACTTTTCTCAGCTTGGACTTTTTGTAAGATGTTTTTTTTTTTTGTGTTATCAGTTTATGTTTGTCTTTATTTGTAAGAAGATGAAATTTCAGTAATTCAAAAGGGTTTACAAACTTTCTGTTGCTGAAGCTCTAGACAGTTGGTAATATTATCACAGCAGATGCATTTTTGCTTTCGAAGTTACTCAACACCTGAATCCTGCTTGTCGTCTGTCCCTCATTCTGTCCAGGGATGGCTTTGCACAGTACTGGATCATTCCAAGACCCCTCACAGGGCACAGGGGATCGGGGGGAGCTGGTGCACACATTGTCTAAAGAAGCCCCTGGGTCTTCAGATGCCTCTGAGTTGGGAAGCCCTCGCAGTACACCAAACTTTGACCTCCTCAACATGGTTTTGTCCTATAAGAGGATGGCTCTATATCTAGAACCGGTTACAGATACAGTGGAGCTCATTCGCTTCCTGCTCGGGTGTGTATTTGTGCTTTCTGTACCCTGTATGAATATCACATAACTGCTTTTTCATAGTAATCACAGAGCTACATATTTATATTGCAGTATTCATTATGATCTTTTTTTTTAATCTCTCAGGTGGAAGATGCCACTGTGTTCTCTGCTTGTTTGTATTTTCCTCAATGTCTTCTTCTGCACAGTTAATGAAGGTAGGAGGAACCATTACACAGCCTTATTCAGCCTTATTGTTGCCCTTTGAATAATTTACTATGTTGTTTTTTTCTGTCTCCCTCTTCTGACATCAGTTGGTTGGTTCACTGTGAGTTTAGCAGCAGTATCTTTGCCGGCTGCCCTGGGTTACCTGCAGGACAGGTGTAGGGGCAGAGCCTCATACGATGAGCTTCAGAAGCGTCGCTTTCATGCTGTGTATCGCAGAGACTTGCAGATCATTCATCTCACCAAACAGGAGGCCATGTTGGAAGTCAAAGACCTGTAAGGCAAATTATGCATTTAACGACTTAAACTATTAGCATGTAGCATCCAGATCTAAAAAATGAAGTCAGTGTGGAGCTGCTTTAAACCTGCTTTCGTTTAAAAGGCCAGCAGAGACAACCTGTGGTTGTCAAAAATAAAGTCCAGAGCCCTCAGCTCACTTGATCCATGCCCATAGTATACTTGTTACTAGTATGTTTAGAGTCTGAGACACTTCTTTCAGGTTTTACTGAATCCAACATTATGTTCATTTTGTAAATTATGGTCCCCCGTAATGTGCAGAAAGAAGTTAAGCAGAGTATGCTTTCAATGTTTGATGCACTCTATACTTATAAACTCTGGTTTCAAAAAGCTAAGGTCCCGATTGGAAGGTTTAGAGACCTTTAGGTGACCCCCTGGCAACCACTGGTCGCTAGGGGGGAAAAAAAAGTATATTCCCTTGCTGATTTGTGAGCAATTGCTTGAGGTTGCTGGCAGTCACTAGGTGAAATTGGTTGTAGAGAGGTTTACAGCGATGCATCAAAAACCTCTTTTCAATTGCTTTGGTTATTAGCAGGTTGCCATGGTTGCCTGTAGTTGACATGGAAGATGTCAGCAAACACTTGGCTCGTGTTTGGAGGAAAAACCTTTGAGGAAATGCTTAGTTGTCCTGTAGAGTTGTTAACTTTACATTTATAAAATGTAATGCATCCCACAATTGTTGATCGGAGTGAAACTGTCATTATTTCCAAACTATTATAAACTTGAATGTGTCTCTCATCACACAATATTGACTAAGAGTCCTACCTGCTACCGGCATATTCATTGTTTCATACGATTTTAAAATATCCAATTTAAAGATTAAGTTTCAGGCAAACACTGATAAAGAAGATGGAGGAAGTCAGTTTCTTCTTCCTTTTTTATTTTTATTTTTTAAGCAGTTTATAAACTGTAGCTATCGGTGCATTTCTGAGTATTTGTTCATGGTATGTATTTGCAAATCGATTGAAATGTATTTGTTCACCCTTTAATGTGGGTCTCATTTGCCTTCACCAGGTTGAAGCAGCTGGATGACATGCTGTCCTCTGCCTGTCAGTCAGCAGAAGCTGCTTATAAAGTCTTGTACTGGGATAATCACACCAAGTCATCAAGGTCTGCATCTGTGGTCTCTCTCTTTTACACACACGCACATTCTTTTTGCTTATAGCTGAGTCATTATTGCTCAACAGCCGGCGCTCATGATAACATCAGTTCAGCTCATGCATGTGAATGAATTGTATATGTTTTAACAAGCTCTACTGTACTGATCTCTTCTGTTGTTGCCGATAGTAACAAGATATTCAGACGTGTGTCAGTAGTCACGGTTTAAAATGTCAAATGTGAACTTAACAAAGAATTCTGTTGCTGATCAATCGCTCACATAGTTTTAATGTGACTTCTCAAAATGTTCCACCTCCAGGTTCTATGGAGGGATATTAATCGTGGTGTGTCTACTCTATGTTGCTCCGGTGGCCTGGGTGCTAGCTGGACTCAACAGTGTCATGTTTCTGTGGAACAGAGACTTCTGCAGAGGTTAGTTTGGAAAAGGCTGAAAAATAAAACTAACACTGAAGCGTTAAAAACTGCAGATCTTCAAACGGCCTCTAGAGCCTGGCTCTAAAAACAGTAATAAAATACAATAGTAGTACATGGTCATTCCATACAATACATTCTCATTTAATTATGGTTAAAAAGTAAGATGGTGACTGAATTTGAGACTTTAAAAAAGTCCACGACCTTTAGGTGGATACATCCATCTTTATAAATGCAGTCGATGGTCTGTTAATCTGTTCCAGTTTTATTGGAGCTTAAGAAACTGTTCCACATGAGCAAGACACAGACTTCAGAAGGGGCGTGTGAAGAACAAGAACAAGGCAATTTATTGGAGAGGACCCCCACACCGACCAGTCTAGAGGTGAGAGACAGAAGCACGGAGGACAAAAGTTTATAAGGCCTGATACGACTTGCACTGAAGGATTATTTGCTGTGATTTATATTAAAACCAAATACAGCTGAAAGCTTCTTACCCTGAGAGCATGGGATAAACAGTCCATCCATCATTTTCCTTTCATGCCCTCTGTGTCTTTCTGTGTTAGGATTTTTACTCCAGCAAAGTCACAGACTGGGGATCACATTGATCTGTGGAATTCCAGAGTGAAAACTTCACCCGTTACATTCATGTGTGATCCTGATTTCAGATCTCTTGACCATACCACAGTTTAACAGCTGTCCTGGGTGCTCACTCTGGGATCAGCTGTGTTTCAGGAGTTAAGTAAACAAGTGCTCAGATGTTGTTTTGTGTTTTGTCACAACAGGATCTGTCCCCTGGCAGTGTAGAAGAAGCTGAGGAAGCTGAGCCTGATGACGAATTTAAAGATGCCATTGAGGTAAACGGAACACTTACACTTTAGGATGTTCTTTTAAATTACATTTGTATGTTACTTCTATGCAGTTGTAATTCTCAGATGTCTGCAGTATTACAACTTCTTCCTTATAATGTCTAATGTGATTGTCCAATTTCATAAATCTTTCTAGTTTAAGTAATCATAAAATATTCTGTAGTATTTTAATTTGTTTTCTTGCCAAAGTTATACTAGAAAAAATGGTTACTGCCATTTATTGTCTGGCCAAGTTGGATGCAGTGAATTTAGCTGATTTGACCCAGATTTACACTCATAGGTGGAGCAAAAAGGCCAAGTGTGTTCCACTTGGTTCACCCTGACAGCAACAGAAATGGTGTAAAGAATGGGAGAAGTTTTATCTTTCATCCCTTTCTGCTTTTGCTGAGATAAGTAATTTCTACTGAAATCTTCAGTAAACTGGAGTCATTCATTAGCTTAACTTTTCATGTAATATATAGATGTAGGGGGAAACAAATTTGGATGGTGAATTCTATAAATTTTTGTCTTGCAAAATAATTAAAAAAAATTAAGAAGTTCAGTTTGAGCTTGCCGGTAACTGTTAGGGAGGAGGAAGCCTTTGTTGCTGACATACCTCCTGTCTTTATTTGGTTTTTTTCCCTCTGCTATCCTCCTAACTCAGGAAAATTCAGTTTCAACACAGGTAAGTGTTCTCTCCTTTGTTGAGAGGAGGCTAGTTCGTCATGGCTTTTTCTTTAGTTCTTGCTTTGCTTTTTGAAGCGCAGTTTTAGGTGTGGTCACGGATAGTAACACTGAATATTAGTACTTTTAGGTAACGTTTTTCTCATCTCTTGTTTTGTTGCCTGACAAGGAAACCCCATTGGTTTTGGTGGTAAGTGATTTCACTGTGCATCCCTACTGCTAGTCCATCCATCCATCCATTCATTCACCTTGGCAGGAGTTGTGTGGCAGCAATAATGCTATAAATAACATGCCCATAATTGTTGCCTCCAATGGTTATATACTGTGTAATGACACAGGATATTTTTCTCATTATTATTCAGCATGATCAGCATCATGCTTTACGCAACAAACAAATCTTTACTATATTAAATCCCCAGACTGAACTAATTCTATCAACAGAATGTGAATAATTGCCTGTGACTTTCTGTCCAAAATATTTTAAGAGAAATCAGCTGAACTCCAGGGTGTTCTTTTGTGTAACACCAGTCTGCACGACAAGACTCAGTCAAGAATGAGTAGCGATGAACCTTTATTTTAAAAACACATATTGTTATTCATAATAGGGGAAATGGGGTTAGAGCTAAAAAGAAATGTCTTTTAAAACGTTTAAAGAACAGAAGCGTAGATCCAAGAACGTTTCAGGACTGGTAAAATGCTGCCCCCTTGTGGTGAGGGATTTAGTTAAACACCAAAAGTGCGTTTAAAATCTATTAGCTCTTGTGACATAAAACTTTAAATAAAAAATATGTTGTCAAATTTAGTGGCCAATATTAGTCAACAAGGTCTATTACACCTGATTTATCTGTTCATCAAATAAATGGATACACTTATTTGCTAAAATCCTAAACTGTTCCATTAACTGCAGGGAAGAAAGAAGTTATCCTCCTCTCTCCAAGTCTTTATTTTTTGTTGAAGTTGGATATGTGTTATTCTTATTAAAGAATAGTTTTATATTCTTTAACAAGAAAAGCTTTTAACACATGACAACTAATATCTTCATTCTGTTTGTCCTCTTACACTCTGTGCATTTGGTTCTGTGTCATTGCTGTCACTCAGTGTAGTGGATCACATTTGTAGTGGAGTAGGTTGTGTTAACCTTACTTGGTAGCCCTTGGTTCACAGACAGTTGGTACCTTTATCACATCCTAGTTATATTGAATATTAAGAGTTAAGAGAGATTAACAACATTTAATTTCTTTAATTTCTGCTTTTGCTCTTATGGAGGTTGCGGTCCTCATGTTTGGCAGATAAATTAAGTACAGCAAGTGCGTGAATGCATGTTCTTTGAAATGTATTCTCCACCTTCATAATCATCCTAGTAGTCGTAGTTGTTGTGATCATTATGCTTAGCTTATTCATCAAACAGCTATTAGTCAGACTACCTGATTTATTTTAAATTCTAGTTTCTCCTCTGTTAATGTTTAATTTGTTTCCTGGCTTCTTTACACTTCAAAAGCTTAGACGTTATATATAAAAAAAACTATTTGTTTTTTCTATGTATCTCACTCCTCTTCGTCTCCCTAAGGAGGATGATGATGGACCCCTTGGAGCTCCCGAGTATGACACTATCTCTGAAAATGGTCTTCTAAGCCGAAACGAACCAATACGCAGCAAAGTGTCTAAACTGACAGAGAAACTGCGTAAACGCTATCCCACAACCGTCACAGGTCAGCGAATCCTCCACTGATTTCAACCCTCTTATTTATAGCTCGGTGATGACACGGTAGATTTTCTAAGACTTACAGCTCTATTCTTGGTTGTTTCTTTCTGTCTCCAAAGGCAACTGTTCGAGCTGCAATGCCGTCTTCTCAGTTCTGAAGAAAAGGGTGAGACTGAAACCTTGTGGCAAGAATTTGGGATATATTTAGGCGTCGTCATCATGGTTAATTTTATCCTATTTTTCTGTTGGGATGAGCTCTAACCCACTGTCTGTTTTTATTGCAGAGAAACTGCAGTAACTGTGGCAACAGCTTCTGCTCTCGATGCTGTTCCTTTAAGGTGCTGAAATCTGTTATGGGGGCAACAGGTGAGAAGCAGTATCGTTAAAATATTTGCATCATATCACACAATTCTGTTTCTGTTAGTTTTATTCATCTGTTCTTTGAGTTAAAGCCGCTGTCTTTTATTATTTCATCCTCAGCTCCAGAAGCACAGAGAGAGACAGTGTTTGTTTGTGCTGCCTGTAATTCCACTCTCATCAAACCACAGTGAGATGGCATGTTGGTTATATCTCCCAACGGTCAGCAAGTGTTCTCTCACTGTTTGGCCCTGAGCCCTATATTGGACCCTGACGTACATGCCTTTGTGTTCATGTTAAGGCTCTTCTGTCAAGAAACATCCCATGTGGAGCTCCTACACTCCTTTGCCTTTATCAGTTCCTCGTTAGCTTCTCTTGTTGCTTATGGGATTTCTACTATTCCTGTTGTTGGATTTTTCTTTTTTTGTGCTATCAGTGAAGGACTGGATCTTATCACTCAATGAGACTCAGCACAGTACACAGTGGCTCTAAAATCAAAGGACCTATTTACAGTCTTTCTGAGAAGGACCAATATATGCACAGTGATAACCACGACTCAGCTAGTAGTGATTGGTGGTTAAAATAAGTGAACAGGGTTACAGCGGTTTTGCTTTACAATCTTTGCCTCACAATAACGGTGATGGCTCGTGAATTTTGATATCTTAAGGACTGTTTGGCAGATTAATGACAATGTAATGCTGAAGGACCTTTCTGTAAGAACATAAGGCATCAAATCTGCCGTTCAGACTGATGAATATGATGTGGGACAATGCTTAAGTTGTGCTTAAGCTTGTTCAAAAGTACAAGATAATGCTGAAGGACCTTGACATCCATCTGTCACCAATATGATATGATGAATTGTGGGTTTGTCCGAGATTCTGAAGGAAAGTTTGAGTTCTGAGTCACACCGGGCCACAGCCACAGTAAGCCACCTCTGGCCCCAAGAGAATGTTTGTGAAGAGTTGCTGGAGGTTTCTGGCTCTTGTTAAGTAAAGTTGCAAAGAGAGCATTGCAAAAAAAACTTGTGATTGCTTCTGTTGCGGGCAGATCGCTGCGGGCACTAGTAGTGTGCGAGGAAGATGCCAACTTGTTTGGAGACATTTATCATTTTAGTCTCTGAGCTGTAGTAAAAGTTGAAAAAGAACAGTGCAAACTGGAAAAAGAGAACATTTGCCTTCATAGTACAAGTTGTGCCTTACTGGAACAAACACATTTTAAAAGGGTCACCTTTCACTTTGAAGCCGAATGTTCTCCATCTCCGGTTTCTGTCACACCTTTACAGTTTTGCTGCTGTTGGCGAGTAGTTTGCGATTGTTTTCACTCCAGTCTCCTATCAACCAGTCATCTCACAGAGCTTTGACTGTTCATCATGTCTGAGTGAATAGGGCTTTAGCAGTCAATATCAGAGTGTCTGCCAGCACCTGCTTACCAACTGATTGGCACATGCACGACAGATAGTTTGCTCACATAAGATCATTTTTGAGCAAATGCTATCCTGGTAATCCTGGTCTGGAAAACTCACTGTGATTAGATTTGTCTTTTTCAGTTGATTTTCCTACCAGAGGAAGCGGATGCAGAAAAGCATAAAAAACTGAAAATGCAAAGCAAAGTCTCACACAGTGTGGTTTTGTTGAAGGCAGGGTCTGAGCCGTTTTCAAAGTTGAGCAGACCAGTTTACTCTTGTAATAATCTAATTGCTGCTGCATTTCAGTTGTCATGGTTTCCTACGTGGGCGTGTCAAACAAGCTTTATTGTATTACAGCAGCACGTCCAAAGGTCCTTTGAGTCCATGTTTTTCGTCTGACTGGATCGAGTCGACCCATCTGGATAAAAATAATTTGAGTGGACCGAAGAACCCACTAAAACTGTTACCAGAACTTCACACTCTTGCAAGCAGGACTTGACTTGAAGAACTCATGTGAGGCACTGAAACCCAATATGTGGATCCTGGTGGCAACATTGTTTTAATCATGTTTCAGACACAGATGATTGTAACTGTTTGCTTTGCTTTTACTGTAATCATATATATAAGCTTACTGTAAATAGTTCTAATTGTTCTATGTATAATATATTTAATTTAAAACTCCTAAAAGTGCGAGTTATTATTTGACCGAATGATTAATTATGTATATACTGCCCAGGATTTTAAAGATTAAATTATGCCGTTATTAAAATAAACAATGTAAAGATTTACAGCTGTGGTCAGTTTACATACACTCATTGTGAGCTTGCATGTCATAGCAACTTTTGAATTTTCACAATTTCTTTGAACTGTTCTTTTTCCTTTTCTGACACGTTTAATTTTATTTTGAATTTTCTCTAATCCACACAGGGTCAAAATTTTATGCAAGGGCTCAAATATATGCATACGCTCCGTTAAATGTTTCAATAAATGGTGCTGAAGGTTCTGCAGTGTGGTGGCGAGGCCAAGGTCTGTTAATTTCTCAAGAGTGATTGTGAATGACTACAGCTGCTAGCTTCTCTTTGCTGCCATGGTGGAGTGACCAATACTGCAATTGGAAAGTGCAAGAACCTCAGTGAAGCCTTAAATTAGAACTGGAGATTTACACAAACTGGAAAGGCCTCTTGGAGCTGTTTCTAAACAGCTGTATTCAAAGATCACCAGTTCAAACAAACTTAACAATTGGACGTGTCACTACTTTTCCAAGGTCTACAAGATAGTCACCCTCAGGTGAGAGAAAATTGGTTAGAATTGCTGTTAACTGGAAAGTGGTGGAACACCAGAGCCACTGTCCACAGTGAAGCAACTTCTACAATGGACTGAGAATGTACCAAAAGCCCTGGTCTAAAATTATAACTTTTAAGCTCGACTGGAATTTTCACCTGCCCACAGTGACAAGCCAGATGCCTTCTGGAGAAAAGTAATATGATCAGATGAGACAAAGATTGAGGTGTTTGCTTATTTATAAGGGGCATGTTTAAAGGAGCAGAAAGGTGAGGCTTTCATCCCAAAGAACACCATGCCACCTCTCAAGCATGCTTGTGGAAGCATCATTGTCTGTTTTGATGCTAATGGCATTGATGCATTGCACAAGATTGATGGAGTAATGAAGGAGAAGGACTACCTCCAAATTCTTCAACTTGACTTCACATCAACAGCTAAAGGGTTGAAAATTGTACACAGTCAAATATTCCAACAGGACAATGATCCCAATCAAAGCCCTGAACTCAACCTTACTGAAAATATGTAGCCTATGCTTAAAAGCCGAGTTGGTGCCAGAAAATCAACCAATTTAAATGATCTCTACCAATTCTGCCAAGAACTATCCAGCCAAGATTATGCCAGAAGAATAAAAGCACCTTCTCGAGGTGCAACTTGCTAAGAGACATTTAGCCAAATATAAATGTGGGTCTATGTGTATATTTGTGGCTACATGTATCACTTTGACCCTGTGCAGATGAGAGAAAATCAAAAGTAAATTAGGACTTGTTTTTACAAGTTGTTGAAGATGTATGCTGTATGATCATTCCACTCTGGAAAAAAGAATAGTTCGGTCATTGAAATCAATTAAAAGCTCAAAATGAGCATGGCACTCGTGGCCATGATGAGTGTAACCACAGCAGCAATTAAAGTGACAGGTGGTAAGTATGTTCCTTTTGGCATGGGAATCATTTTATTAGCAACTAAAAGGCATTGTCATTTCAAAGCACAGTTGTACAACACTTTAAAAAAAGCATCAGAAATTATTTTACTTTTTTTTTTTTCAAAACAGCTTCATTTGTTTGATTTATTCCATTTAGAAATAAAAGTTTGAATTCCTTCATTTAAAATTTGGTGTTTAACTTTTAACTAATTTATTCAAGTATCAACATTTTCAGTGATATGCTGGTGATAGATCCTCAAAGTTGGTTTTACAAATATTTGTCTGAACTAGTGAATTAAATTATGATGTGTAAAGTGAAATGGGTCACTCCCACTGATAAACTCATAATGTTTATGCCAGAGGAAGGTTAAACAAGAAAGCTCTACTGTAAAGGGTGCAGATATGGGAAAGAAAATACAAATAACGACACTTCAAGTAAGACCTTGAAGTGACATTTGAAGTTTTAAAAAACTCATTGCCATTTAGACTCATTTCGATTGTTTTTAAATGAGATAAAAATTAGTTGTTAAATCACAAAATGGAGCTGTAATAAATTTTATTTGAAAATTTAGGATGAATGATGCTGCTTTCTTTAACATATAGCTTATAGTATAGGCTACTACTAATAATCAAGACTGCAATCTGTTTCAAACAAGCTCTCATTTCCTGAACATAAAACCAAAAAGCTCTTGTCACAGAAATTTATATTTTAGATATAGTTTTGTAAGGAAAAACTTATTTCATGAAGCCTTTTTAACACATATTATGAAATTTACATGGAGATTTTGTAAAAAAAAAAAAAATAAAAGCAAACACCTAATTATCAATAAATGCAGTTCCTCTAATAGCCTCTTGAGGTTGCTTCCAAAGGCAAAAGCAGGCTAGAAAAGACCAAACCCAGCAATCAAAACAACATGTTTACAGTTTGTTTGAGTTTTTTTTAATTCACCTTTTTGGATTGTGTTAAGCTTTAAAGTAGTTTCGACCTTCCAGAAATACGGTGGTGGCCACAATTCTAACTCTAAGGGTTCTGGATGTGGAGATGGTTGCCAGATGTCCTCTAAACTTGTATGATTGCTGTCTTATTGATTTGACTCTATATTATCATATGTCCAAAATGGCAGACAAGTTAATGTCACTTGGTTAACAGTCACATGGCTTCAAAACCTCAATTGCGCTCCAAATAGTGGATGAGGCCCTGCAGCATCCTATGTCAGAACACCTGTCAATCAATGCAGCCACGCCCCTGATTCAATTATCAGGTGAATGAGTTATAAAAACTTTGAACTGCTGTGAGGAGGGACACTATTGCCTCTATTTGGGGGGGAGGGGTCGATCCCAATGCTGGTATACGTATCGCAATACTAGCGCAATAGTATTGATATTTCTAATTCTATCCTCCAACTTCAGTATTTAGACCTCAAACATACACTATGAAAAATGTCTGAACCTTTTTGTGTTAAATGTACATGTACAAGCTGACCCAAAGTGTATTAAAGACAGGCACATTGACATTCCAGGTCTCCAAAAAAGAAACCTAACCCCTTAAACCCTTTATAAGTTGCCTTTATGTTAAACATATCAGTATCGGTATTGGTATCGGCAATATTTAGTTCATATCTGATCGATACCAAAATGTGCAGCATGGCAGATAACTAGCTGACTCCCTTTCAGAGACCGCCTCAAGTGGCCACCAGAGGAACTGCAGTTTTTGACACTTCCACATTCTCCGCTCCGGCTGCATTTTTCAGGTTTGGAGGTCGTCTCCCCCACCCCGACGTCCTGCAAAGTCAAGTTGAGGCTGAAGAAAAAGCCGAACACTCTACTACATTAAGCCCCGCCCCCTCAGGATTACAAGCCTCTCCTCCTCTCCCCACCCTCCCCCCTTCCGTGTCCCACTAAGCGGTTTCAGAGCGTGAAGGGACTCGTCCCTACAGCCACGGATGCACGGTGCAACATGGCGACAGAGGTAAGACACTCGCTCGGTTTAATTTCCAGCTCGGGTCCGGTTACCGGCACGAACAGTGACATGAAGGTTTAAACGAAACAGGCGCGGCTCCAGTTAACACGGACGTTGAGGGCATGGAGGCTGCACACGGTTAACCTGTGCGGATCACTTGTATCTGGAGTGACCACTGTGTCCTACATTATCACGCCAGTTTCGCCAGAGGATTTGGTCGTTTTCATTTGTCTTTTTTTTCTTTTTCTTTTTTACCACATAAACGCGCTCTAGTATTTTGTTTAAAGAGGAAAAAAAAGGGAGGGAGGCATTTTTGAAAGTCAGCTGAGCTATAAGAAAAAAGGATCAGTGCAGCCCCCTCCGTCCCTGCCATGTTAAGCTGTTTTGGTGAAAGCAGATCTGTTTTTGTGTATTGAGAAGCCACGTTAATCCGGTGACAAGCAACTGTGTTTGACTACACACACATACCCACTCACACACACACGGAGGACAGCCGTTCAGCACCATGGACAGAAGCCACTCCACCCCGACCTTCCTCCGTGCTTCGCCTGACTCCCTTTTCCTCCATCTGTGCTTTCATGTAACCAAAAATAATGGTGACGCACAAAACTGATTATATCAAGCATAAACAAGCTTGTATGTAATACTTGTTTGGCCTCTATAAGTCTGCTTCAGCTTGTTCCGTGTAATCGATCTGTGTTTAGCCGTAGTGAAATGTTGTCCCGTCTCCCTGCTTTCCTGAAAGACCAAGAGAAAGTGTGTGTGTGTGT